TTGCCCTAAAAATTAATCGATCCTCCATTTTTCTTTCTCCAATGGATTCGTAGCCAACTTTCTCGGAGATCTGGTATGTTTTTTCCCCCTCTCTCGATCTGTATCGGATTTTCTCCTACAATGGACAATGTAAACGCAAATCGAATACTAGCACAGAGCGCCTGAATTCGAGAAAGTGTTTTGTTTATTGAATTTTCATGGGGATTTGCTTTAGCGGTGAAGAACAGTATCAATATTCTCAACAACAACAACAAGCGTATCAAAAGAAAACAACAGAGAAATCAGGAAGGAATAATTCCGATGTGTATCTGATGAATTCCGATTGTCGTGATTCCGTTGGTAAAGCGAGTGCAAGTGGCGGCGGCGGCTTGCCTTTGGCTCCTAAGAACGTCAAAGATCTTCAATCAAACCCAGGTTACGAAAATGTCGATGTTTTCTCATACGAAGAAATGAAGATCGCTACGAAGCAATTCAGGCCAGATTACATTCTTGGTGAAGGAGGTTTTGGTGTTGTCTATAAAGGAATCATAGATGAGAATGTGAGGAATGGTTACAAGTCGACGAAAGTCGCGATTAAAGAATTGAATCCTGAAGGGTTTCAGGGAGATAGAGAATGGTTGGCTGAAGTTAACTATTTAGGTCAGCTTAGTCATCCGAATCTTGTTAAACTCATTGGTTATTGCTGTGAAGATGATCATAGATTGTTAGTTTATGAATACATGGCGTTGGGGAGTTTGGAGAAGCATCTTTTTCGTAGAGTTGGATGCACTCTGACATGGTCGAAAAGAATGAAGATTGCTTTAGATGCAGCTAAGGGTCTTGCGTTTCTTCACGGTGCTGAACAGAGTATCATATATCGTGATCTGAAGACGGCGAATATATTGTTGGACGAGTGTTACAATGCGAAACTCTCGGATTTTGGACTTGCGAAAGATGGTCCAAGAGGAGATCAAACGCATGTGTCGACTCGTGTTATGGGTACTTACGGATACGCTGCTCCTGAGTATGTAATGACAGGACATTTGACATCGTTGAGTGATGTTTATGGATTCGGGGTACTTCTCCTTGAGATGCTTCTTGGGAAGAGGGCGATGGACAAAAGCAGACCTTGCCGGGAACATAACTTGGTAGAGTGGGCACGACCGTTGTTGAATCACAATAAAAAGCTTTTGAGGATCATAGACCCTCGAATGGATGGACAGTATGCCACTAAGGCGTTGATGAAAGTAGCCGGTTTGGCTTACCAATGCCTCAGCCAAAACCCGAAAGGAAGACCCGTCATGAATCATGTGGTAGAAGTCCTCGAGACTCTCAAGGAAGACGGTGATGCTCAGGAGGAAATCATGACTAATCTCCACACCAGGGGCAAGTCTGTAACCTTGTATGAAGCTCCTAGTGACTCGCAAGGCACGAGAAATGGGGATGGGCAAAGGAGGAGAAGACCAGAAAGTGGTAGAAGCAAGAGCGAAGCTGCAGTCGACACTGACCAGTATGTTTCTGCTCTTGTTTCAGAATTGGATTCTACTAAAATTTAAGACTCAAGACAAAGATTCATCAGTGATTTGAGAAGGTAAGATAAGAAAGTAGCAGATATTGGATTGAAATGTATAAATAAGTTAAGTTTTTGCTTTCAGAATTATTTTTTGGGGAATTACAAATATTAG